TTGGTGATTCCCTTATTTCCTGGCGAAGTAAGAAACAAGATGTTATTGCTCTTTCCAGTACTGAGGCAGAGTATCGTGCAATGTCCACAACAGCTAAAGAGATTATTCATCTTCGTCGCCTTCTCAGTGATTTTGGTATTTCTGTTACGACTCCTACTCCTCTCTACTGTGATAATAAGAGTGCCATCCAGATTGCTAATAATCCAGTATTTCATGAAAGGACCAAACATATTGAGATCGACGCTCATTTTGTCCGTCACCAAGTTATCAAGGACAAGACAATTCTACTTCCTCATGTTTCATCCGCTGACGAGCTTGCAGATTTCTTCACAAAGGCCTTACCTGTTCATCGGTTCCAGTTTCTTGTACGCAAACTCACTTTGTTTGATCCAACATGAGTTTGAAGGGGGCTGTTGATAATAGTGTATTGTAGTGGGTTTTAGTCCCACATTGCTTGGGAGAACAAACCTCACACTCCTCTACTTGTATAAATATATGTGCACACTCAATATTCAATTCAAGGGAAATTTACCCAAGATTCTCTCTCTCTCTCTCTTACTTTAACATCATTAGAAAAAGAACTATAAACGGTAATTTCACAAAACTACCCTGTACTTTGAAGGACCTTCTACACAAAATTACCATAAATTTCTTGTTAGAGGACTTTTCAAAGTTACGTGCATGCAGACGCTTAGAATAAACTGTCACGTGCTTCACTCGTGGCATGTTAAGCACAATTTTTCGCTTACCTAGTTATGTATTTTTACCTCTCTTGTCCTCTCCCTCTTCTATACTCCATTATCGGTTGATAAGCATATATACAAATAGTTTAGACTTCTTTTTATCCAAGATATTAAAGCCATTAGAAGAACCCCACAGCACTTAAGTTCATTAGCTTTTCTAATAAAAGAAGTTTATTGTATTTTTCTGCAAAACCCTTGAAAGTTCATGATTGTTTTGTGAGATTTCCTTTCCAATAATAGACATTTTATGAATCGGATATGTCAACCATCCACTATCTATGGATGAATATAAATTCTATCAGAACAGTGCGCATGTGGGAGGAGTACTATCCTGATCTTTTGTATGGACCAAAAAAGAGTGTTCTGACGGAATTTGTACTCGCATGTCTATCGACAACATAAAGAACGCAAATCCAGAACGTAGGATATGTCGCGTACAAACTCGCTGGCCGCGAACCTCGCGCCAAGTTGGATTAGAATTCGATGCGCCCGGGTTCATGGGGACAGTCTCAAGAATTGTGTGCATGATTAGGGGGAGAGGAGAATTTGATGCTATACGCTTCTGCTTCATTCTTTGAGAACAGATGCTGTTTTAATTAGTTCCGAAAGTGAGCTCAGCACAAAGAGAATATAATTATCATCACAAGGACTTTTGCTACGTAGTGGAGATCTTGATCATTTCTTTTAGGAAATTTTGTTCTAATGATTCCCTACAAGAGGGGACCAGAAGGTCAAGATTAAGTTTTTTTTTTTTCTTTTTTTTTCACACGGATAATGGGTAACATTTACGCGGTCAAACTTTTTCTCCTAATTTTTGATGATTTATCTTGTAAAGATGCTTAAACGTGATAAGATTCTCTTGTTTAAGGAACAAGATAATGTAAATATAATTTATCTATTTTAGTTCCCTATAACAATGCATGTTAGGATAAAGACCATACATTTTTTTTTTTTTTTTAGGTATGGGGTCGTCTATTGTGCACAATTTTTTTCTTTTTGCCCCCTTTAGGATGTTACATTTTTACCTTTGTTTTTTTTTCAAATTTAAAAGTGGGGCGTACGTGTAACTTGTTTAAATAAGACTTGCGATGGTGATGTGATAAAACATTCATTAATTTGTTCTTTGTCAAAGAATATGACTTGATTGTTTTTCAAATAAATTGGAAAAAAAAAATATTTTTCTCAAAAATTGTCCTTTATTCAATCAGTACATGCATGTGCTCATGTGGCCATGCCTTATCTGTTAGCAAAATATGACTTGATCTGTTCTCAAAAATATTTTCTAAAAAAAACGTAATGAGGGGACACATATATGTACTGATTTCAAAGATGAGAAAAGTTTTTTGAGAATCAAATAAATTAAGTTCTTATTTTGGACTCTTCAAAGAAAACCGCACACAAAAGTTCAACCGTCTACAACTTTCTGCCCATAAGATTCTGCTCCCAACCAGCTACCTTACTTAATTAGTTCTATAAAATATATGGTTAATTGCAGATAGACGCTCTGTACAATCGGTCAATTGCAGACGCGCCCTTCGTAGTTCTAGTGTTGCGGATCTCCTAAGGGAAATTTCTTTTTGACTCTTTAATTTACTGTCGGAGATCGAATAAGAAAATTTCTGATGAAGGGGTCAAAAAGGTCTCCTCAAGGGGTGCACCTGCAACAAATTCTTTTCTTTTTTTTTTTTGCGTGGGTGGTGGGGAGGGGGGGCGCCCGCAATCAAGCAAAAGACGGGGGGTCTAACCGCAAATAAACGTAAAATATAAGCAATCACGTGTGCCCCCTGCGCGGAAGTATTGCACGGTATGATCCTCGCATTGAAACTCCTCGCACGGTGACGAGCAGTTCTTTTCTTCTCATCGGAATTACTTAGCCATATTTTATTTTTATTTTTATTTTCTTTTCAAGTTAATTAATTAACTGTTCCCCCGCCCCCCCCCCCCGATAATTTACAGATGACAATCGCAATCTCCGCACGTGCAAGACATTTTAAGGCTCGGATAAAACCTTTGATCATTTGGTTGAGGTTAGCAAACACAAACCTTGTGATGTCCAAATTATATTAATTTTGATACAAAAATCCAAGCTCTCGCTGACAACTGCGGAGAGTATTCACATGTATTCGTACTTATTCCTAATTTAAATCATTTACTTATTTAGCAGACGTATGATATATTTAAATCTATATACTCACCTACCCCATGTATTGTACTTATTCCTAATTCGAACTAAAAAAATCACAAACACCAACTAAATAACTAAATAATTAATGGTTATGTAATGGTCTCTTCATTATATATATATATATAATATATATATATATATATATAATATATATAGAGAGAGGAGAGAGAGAGGGGATCCCGAATCCTATCTGTAGTGCTAAAAGCACTTATATACATGGGAAACACTAGAGGCACACCCTTAAACACACACTCCCAACCACACTCCCTCTCCCAGCTACAGTGTTTTTGGCCCACATGCTTTATTTAAAAAACCTAAAAAACACTGTAGCTGGGAGAGGATGTGGTTGGGAGTGTGGTTTAAGGGTGTGCCTCTAGTGTTTCCCATGTATATAAGTGCTATTTAGCACTACAAGATAGGATTCGGATCCCCTCTCTCTCTCTCTCTCTCTCCCTTCTCCCTCTCTTCTCCTCTCTCATATATATATATATATATAAATATATATAATATATATATCTATATATATATATTATATAATATATTAATATATAAATATATATATATATATTATATATATATATATATATAATATAATATAATGAAGAGACCATTACATAACCATTAATTATTTAGTTATTTAGTTGGTGTTTGTGATTTTTTTAGTTCGAATTAGGAATAAGTACAATACATGGGGGTAGGGTGAGTATTAGATTTAAATTATATCATAACCGTCTGCTAAATAATAAATGATTTAAATTAAAAATAGTAATTTCTCCTCTGTTTTTTTTTTTATAGGGGAGAGGATCCAAATTCTATGATATACTCGTTGGATGGACCATCGCTCAACCTAGAAATGAGAATGAAGCGTGCCAACTCTCCCCTTCGAGAGGTTGAAATAGGGCCCAGAAAAAAATGGTCAGAACAAATGTCGCCCAATCACAAAGATGATACTACTCTAAATTGCACAAAAATCATTTTTCCCACAATGAATAATAGTATTCTCAAACAGACTATTAAACAGGGAAAAGCCCCAGAGGCCTGATTTGCTGAATATGAACAAGCAAAACATTTAACATGAAACTGAAAATATTCTAATTCTATTTGGAGCCTCTTGGTCATATTCAAAGCCTCTTAAGAGTAACGCACACATCACACGCAACAGGTAAAAGGGTTAGTTGTGGATAGATCCCCTGTAGTATCACTGTTTTGAAATTACTACCCCTGCAGTTTTTCTGTTGCAGATAGAACCTCTGAATGAAATTTTTGATTCTTACCCTCTAAAAAAAGAAATTAGTATTGCGACAAGTAGCACCGCCCAAGAGTAACAGAGTCCGATGGAATTCACTCCGGGAGTCGGATCTCATAATAATAATAAAAAACTAGAGGTCAAAAACGGCGATAATAGAAGGGATCTATCCATGAAAGTGATTCCAAAATGATGCACATACTTACAATTCCAGCCTCAACTTGAAACCACAGGCAAATTTTTTTTAAAAAACTGTCTTTTCCCCTTCCTCCCAGCCAACCCTAAAAACAAATTCGAGAATTATCCTATATCCAAACAAGCATCACTTACATTTGCATGCAAAAATCAAATACAAATATGACATACACATGCCAATATACCTGTACATATGCATGCAAAAAATAAAGAGGACACGAGAAAACTTGATAGTGTTGGGAAAAAATATATAGTTCACGTAATACAAAAGTGTTCATTAATATGTTCATTATATCTGAAAAGCTAAGATTAAACATCTTGATCATCGAAATAAACCTCAAATCTATAATCTAAGGACTAAAACTACCGTGGTCGCATGACTAATATGCATTTGAATATTTCGAATATGGATACATACATATATTTCACTATAAAAACATATCCTATCGGTTACAGATTTCAATAATCATGTATGTATCCTAACGAATATTTCTTCGAATACCAATATGGTTTAGCACCCTTAACTGTACCCCCACAACTCACCTGAAAGAAGAACACCTGAAAACAAAGGAATAGTAGCCAAAGGAAAACACAATAGGAAACTTAAAAACATATAAAATGGAGCAAGGGGAAGTCGCTGAAAAGAGAGAACAAATTTAAACACGCTTAGAAGTAAACAATTTTTCCCTCGATTGTGTGCAACTGAGGTACAGAAACAAGATATAGTTAATTACATTTTAAAAAAAACCAACTAAACCCAAAACCTGCTCCAAATGAATACAGAAGGCTCCACACTTGCCAACGCTTATTCCTGCGGACAGAAACAGGACATTTGCATCATTAGTATAAAAAAGTGTCCATACTTCATGAAATAAACCAGTATGACATCATATAAATCAGGTGTATATAAATCATCCATGACTAGTGGCCAACATTACCTTCTGGAAAGGAACAGCAACATCACCTTAGTAGTATGCTCTTCGAGGATTACCCTGCATTGATAAAGCAACAAATTAAATGGAAACCCTAATCAAGCCTTTTTTATTCAGTTATCAATATTACTAGATGACACTCTCAAAAAGAACTGAAGCTTACCAAAGGATTTGGTCTGTGCTTGTAACCAAGCATCATCCTCTTCTTATACTGCTCATAAATATCGTCTTCCGGTTTTACTTGATCAGGACGAGTTGCGCCAACACCAAGATGATCCTGTTTCATCCATGCTCCTGGGCCATTACTGAGATCAGCGACGCCCACGTCTTTCGTGACACGAGCCCCTCCCTGTCAAATTAAAGAGAAAAAAATTTAAATATAAAATAAAAAAATAATAATTGACTTTTAATCTACTCTGAAATACGGGAGATTGATCTCATGCTGGCAGCTTAAACATAGCATATACATGTAATCCTATTGCGAACCTCTTTCACTAAAGATGGTTTTCATATCAATAAAATTTTGACTTTGATGGCTAGGCCTTCACCGAGGTGACCCAGGTTCAAATATCCGCAATGGGGAGCTTGGGGAGATGGCATAATAAAACGGAATGCAAAATAAGATTTGCAAAAATATGTCTAGGCTACTACAAAATTCTGTTATAAGGGCTTTCTTCCTGTTGTTAGTCTAATGTAATGATAATTCACCTATGAGAGCTTAGTCTAGACAGTATCAAGGATTTTTGACTATTTCACTACATTTCCAGCTCATAATTGTGTTGAACACGAAACCTGTACAGTAAAATTTTTGAGAAATATGGTGGCTGAAGTAACAGGAATCTTGGTTCATGTTGTGTCAACGATATTCCAATACCAAGTAAAAGCTGCATCAGACAGATACTATACAGAGAAATGCTAATTGTACGAGTATATTCATACTTAGTACTACAAGACTTGAACATCTTCCAAAAATAGTGACATAGGTCATGATTGCAATTCACCAAGAAGGGCCCAACATGGTTGTATCTTGTACTACCAAAATAATATGTAATACTAATACAGTTAGCATTACTCTTTTATTCAAAGAGACATCAAGCTTCACATTTAGACCAAATAATTTTCTCATTAACAAGAGAAAATTGCATGAAACAAATCATATTTGACAATATGAAGCAACATGATGCTTTTCATTAAGAAACTTCAGAAAAAAAATACTGCAGTTGATTAAGCAGACCCCCTCGCTAGCAATAAACACACATTATTAAGCAAAAGATCTGCCAGGTAATATGAAAAGATGTATGCAAACTAAGGTATTTTCTTTCCTTCTCCCCGAAGACAGTTGAGGTCTAATTTTCTGCCAGAAAAATCCACTTGAGCCCATTCCCATAAAATTTACACATATTCTATGCACCCATTGACAGCCATAGTGACAATGGAATCACACTACATATGATGTTGAGCAGTACAGTTTTTTATTCATTAGCACAACTATCACGAGCTCTTCACAATTTTTATTACACTAGACTGAGCGATCAACAGTCTTACCTTCTCTCCATCCCATCTTAGATAAAAGCTTATGCCCAATATTATCGGCCTGGATCTTTGCCTTCTCTGCAGCCTCTCGGGCAGCTTTTCGTGCAGCAGCATCATTGCAAGAAGCCAAAAACTTCTCAAGCTCTTCTTGTGGTATGTAATCACCCATGTGATGGCCCTTCTTTGAAGTAGTTCCTGCAGAGGACCAAATGAAAAACACTGATATTTTTTCAAATTTGAATTTAGTGTATCACTAATACGTTTATCCTGTTCAACTACCTGTCAAAATTAGTTATGAATAAGCATGTCAGGTAAGAGGATTAAAAGAGAGCTCACACCTTGAAACTTCAACTAGCTTTTCAAATTTTTTGAGTCCAGGTAATGTATGAAAGTAATCAATCAACAAAACGAACAGACCTTGAAGAGAATCAGGCGGTGGCATTTCATCCTTTGAGTATTTAGGCGGCCTCTTTCTTTCTTCCTGTGCAGCTTTTTTCATGTAATATTCCATCATGGCTATAGGATCTGCAGCAGGAGGCTTACTAGATTCACCTGCAAGACAAAAAAAAATCAGATATCAATTGCATCTAGGCTTAGAAAACTACAGTTCACATCATTCCCTTGTACTAGCAATTCAGCAAATGGTTTGCCAGTTATTGCCACAGAAACACAAACAACATAAAGATAAAACATCCTGACTAAAATACCCCAAACATAAAATCAAATCCAGAAAAACAAAATCCCAACAAATTTATCTAATTCAAACTGCATCAGATCTAATTTTTCAAAATTATCCTGCATCATTATGCCTAACCCTGTGCTTAAGTGGGACCTCTAGCAGTCCAATTGCCACAATATTATATTGGAGATGTGGTAGGTTCCCAATGGGACACCTTAATCACCTGTAACCATAGGATCGCTCACATGGCTATGCTAGGTTTGCACAATTCACTATTCAAGTTCAGCTGCAAATATCTGATTCGACCAACCTCCAAGCTACTTCTCATTTATCCAACCACACATATTTTATCCCAAAAAATGCAAGACCAGCTATATGAATGTCTCTCTGATTAATGGTGATCAAATACACAAAACCATCCATGCAGAGAACTGTAAGAGAATAGTTTGCTGGATATACTGTTCTCTCCATTGCACCAGCATTGACCTTACTAGAAGATTTGCTAATATGGATCACTCCTTGAATCCTGATAGGTTCACAAACTAAAACAAAATAGGATGAACCATGATTTCCTAAAAGTACAACATGTTCATGCTGAAACATACTCAGCAGAGTATTTATTGCAAGTATGTCCGACTCTATAATTGAACTAGTTGAGCTAAACAATACTATAATCAAACTATTTCCCATATGATTCTCCATGGTTTTTTCCCTTTTCTTTTCCCACTATTAACTCTTTATACAAATATATGGCAATGAATTGAGCAACTACTCAGTTTGGCATCCTCTTTCTCTGATGAACGGTTGAACATTCTTATAATGATTAATAGCTCCGTCATCATTATCTTATAGACTTATACATTTTAATATCTTTATATCTTTATCATAGCAGGTAAAGCTGCATAAATATTAATACAGTAATAAGTGTGGAGGGCTACAGAAAAAGAATTAGCGTATTAAAAGCAAGACCGCAAGAGTAAAAATAATGACTGTCACAAAAGAATAATATACAAACAAGTAGTTTGTAATGATTTATATTTCATATTTTATTGTATTGATCTTACTTTAAAAAGTGTTGTAATAGACATATTGGGGAATGTTTAACCAACATTTGATAGATATAGCTAGATGAATGGCCAATAACCTAGGAATTCTGACAACATTGTATTCTAACATGATTAGCATAGAATTAAGGATCACACTATTTGTTTCCATCTCAAGACCCCTTTCCGTGGTGTGATTCAGATTTTTTCCCCTTGATTTAAGAGTTCCTGAACCTATTCTCCCATGATTTGGACAAGCACCCTGCAGGTAGCTCATTGTGTTTAGACGAGTTTGAATCAGACCCTCTTGTTCTATTACTGAAGGAAATCCAAGATAACATTCTAGTTTTATGGGTTTGTTCGCGTGAAGTATAGGTAGTCAGATACAAACATGCAAAACAAAAGACAATTTTACAAACCCAGCTTGCAATACATCAGCAGCTGTGCAAATTAAGGTAAACTACGGAAGAAACTAGAAAGTAATGTCAAACATAACCAAACCTAATTCTGGCATCCAGGAGAAATATATGAAAGCTATCAGAAATAATAATTATAGGACAATGATAATCCTAATATATCACCATGCAAGATTACTACCAAAAAATTAACAAGCAAGGTTGCTGATAGCGGATCGCGGCGCGTCGCGGCTAGGTACCACTAAGGCTATATCGGGCTATTGCGGCGAAATCGCGGCAAATAGCGCACAATCAAATAGCAGTCAAATTTAAATATATTTAAATATCCTAAATAATAAGAAAATTCATTAAAAAAAACTAAAAATTCAATTAGTTGTAAATTTCTTGTATTATCAATAAATAACAATTAATAAGCTTGTTGTATGAATGAAACTATGAAGAAATTCAAGAAATATAGCATCATAATATGTGTGATAGCGGGTTTAGCGGGTTTAGCCGCTTTTAACAACAAAAATCCGCTTTTAACCGCGAAAATCCGCTTTTAACTGCGAAAACCCGCTTTTAACCCGCTAAAATCCGCTTTTACGCGCTATTCGAATGAATAGCGGATTTTCCCGCTTAAGCCAGCCGCGAAACCCCTACGCGTAGCGCTGAAGGGCCGCGACCGCTATTCGCGCCGCTATAGCCCCGCTATTGGCCGCTATTTACAACACTGTTGACAAGTAGGGAAAAAAGACACACCATGTGCAGTACTTCCTTCTGAAGACCACGCGTCTTCACTGGCCTCATATAAAGCTGAAGCAGGCGTCTGGTAATTGAAGTGCTGTTGAACGGGACACCTCTGGGACATGCTTGACGACTTAGTAGCTTGTGCGCTTACAGAAACTGCCACAAAAGTCAATTAGTTTTTTATCTTGTTAAGGCCTTTTTTCCCACTTTGAAGCCAATGAAACGAAACAACTTTAGGAAAACAATAATGTTATGGATTCCACTCACTTGTGTCTGTTGCGTGAGAACCTTTGGCCTCTTCAAGGGCCTTAATCTCTTCATTAAGTCGATATTCATAGTATTTGTAGTCTGAACAGCTCGAATCAAACAAGAACCTAAAATTTAGCCATGAGCAAACATTAGATAGTGTGTCGAGTACAAAAAATAACTTGGTCAAATAACCATTATCCCAAGGCACAAAGACGAGGAGAAGTTCACATTTCATAGGAAGAACAGACAAATGCTGATATTAACTCCCAATAACCAATACGGGATACTGATACATAACCATAGACTTAAATTCTAGCCTGATAAGTAATGAAATAAGATCCAACTTTGAATGCACCAGCCATGATGGAGAAACTTCTTACGCCATGGTAATAAATTCACTTTGAAGGCACGATTTACTTTATTTTCTGTAAGCTACAATTTGTTAAATAACAAGCAAAATAAAATTGTTATACAATGGGAAGAAATTAACAATATGATACTAGAGCCGAAACCTGGAGAAAAACTAGCAACTGAGTACCACGAATTACACGAATGGAAACAAATGCTATAGCGTAAATAGTTAAACCATAAATCATACATACTTGAAAGGGGTATCTCCTGGATTTTTTTGGCGAGTAACATGCTCAATCTGCCTCCCTTTATTGGCAGCAAAAGTAGCTAACCTATCTGCAACAGTCCTGACTGTAGGATCGCTCGGGGGAGATGGTGCTGCATTTCACTTAAAGAACTGATTAATACCAAGAGCATGAACAAGGGAATGCAAATTACTGTTGTAGCAGGTGTGCCACATTTTCCAATTCTTTCAATCAAGATCTCTTTCCACCATGGGCAATGGAGAAATAAGATATAAGCTGCATTCATGAGACACGATGTTTCAAGAAAGTCTTGTGTACCCCCCATGCAATATTGCGGTTCAATCGCAATGGAGCAAAAATGCAGCAAAAAGTTGAAAAGAGTGAGAAAAAAAATACTATTACAACTATATCATGAACAGTAACATGGGCTGGATTCACCTTCCTACTTTAAGTCACCGTCAAATTTGTTGACCTTCTATGATTCAAGATTCATATGAACTTATAAAGATGACGGATCTACAGCTTTTCTAATGAACTGTATTGTATACATATGATATCGTTTCAAATGATAGGAGTACAAGCTAGAAAGGAAAGATGACCCAAGAAAGAAATCTGAAGCGAAAACAGCAAGGAAACAAGAGCCTCACGTCCAAATATAGGAGTTTCAGGGTTTTGTTGGCATGCCCACCCACCTCCCTCCCCTGCACCGCCTGAAACACTTAAACCCAACCACAAGCGCTCTTGTCCCTCTGGTTAATGTGAACAAAGTCCACTGTTCACCTACATTTATAGCTTCTTCACAAGTCCACATAGTTTCTTAATTTTCTGAGAAACCTAAAAGTTTCAATGGGGTCATTTGCCAAGTTTCAGAGAACAGGGTCTAGAAAAAATAAATTCAGTAACATCAGAATCAATATTCTAAGGGAACAAGAATTCTTCAACCCTAGCTCTAAAGCAGATACCTGACTCACTAAAACAGCTGTTAATGGGCAGTAAAATGTTAAAAGTTTCAAGTATGACGAAGTAAAAGAACTACTAGAGCGACAATAACATCATACGTTATGCAAATATGTCATTCTACACATGAAGATAAGATACAGATGAATAAATCAGAGAAGACGGTCAGCTAAATCAGAGAAGACGGTCAGCTGTAGTTGTTGATCAAACTTTGCAAGAATATTTGATAAACACTTGCATCTGTAACCATAGCACCCAAGTTATCATCATCAGCATGGGGGAAATGCTCGATATTTGTCAAACTTGTAAGACATACAGGTACAATGTTACCAGATTTGTGGTATGCTTTGATTCATGATATGGATACATGTCAACAATATGCTATCTTAAGCAGTATGTTTAATTGGGAACATGCAACCCTTGGGAACATTGCCAGGTCAATTTGGCATGTAATTTTCAGCGAATATGGTCATAGCAGAGAAACAATTGATGAAAACGGTAAAACTAAAACTGTGATAACTAAAGCATTCATATTTTATAAAATAGAAACTAAACTTATATCATTTAAAAACATGATTAAAATTCTTATTTTCATTAAATAAATAATTAGTTTAAACTTTAAACCTCCAAATTTTAAAGTCATAGTGTGATCTCGGTAACCACAAACAAATACTCTGAAGAAAAGGATAAAATACTGTAATCGAAACATCAAATGAACAACAACGGACAATTTCATTGAAAGAAATCAATAGTTCTATCTTTCTATTTCGCAAATTGCCAGTTACTGTGATACGCCAACAATCAGCACACATGAATTGGATATGTTTGTGGGAACAGTGTAAATTAGTAAATTTAGCTATTTATGCTCCATAGATCTCAGTTTAAAATAGATAAATGCTCCAAAACTAGTTCCATATGGAGATACATGAAGAAAGTCCAAGTTATAACAAGTGAGGCCAGAAATCAGCACTTGCATAAACAAAAGAAGAATGATAACTAATGCATAATGGTGCATGCTGATCTGAACATTAACAGAATACTGAAATTCAATATATACTACAGACATACATTGACACATGCATATGTACATGCATGCACATAAACTATATAGAAACGAACAGATAAAGAATAAATATCTCATCAAAAAAATTTAATGAAGTATGCCAATGGTGGTTCTAATTAATTTTTCTATCATAAAGTAACACACAGAAACTAGCAATAAACAGTTCTAGGTTAGAAACGAATAAAAAAGCCATTTGGCATACAATTCCATAACCAAGAGAAAAAAGAGAGATTACCAACATCTCCCTGCTGCAATGATGGCTCAGAAATTTTTGGTGCCCCCAACTTCTGTCTCTTCACCGACTCTTCACCACTCCCAGACCCGGAATCTCCTCTCTCCTCCTCGTCATCTTCACCCAACTTTATGGCAGGCGCCACGACCTTTGACTTCTTCTTGAAGCTGAAGGCCAATTTGCCATTGGAGGGCGAAGGGCTAGGTTTCTTTACATCATTTCCTTTGATCTCCATTGGTCTCTTGTTAGGAATTACAGCAGGCTTTACAACCGTTGAGGAGCCAGCTGACACACTGGACTTGGGTTCATCAGCTCCTGCTGCCTCCTTTGCTTGTTTCTCTTGTTGAAGCTGTCTATATCTCTCCATAAAGGATCCATCATTAACGAAAAGGCTAGGATCTGTCTTTTTCTCCATTAAAGGGTGACTGCACTCTTTAAGCTCCGATCAGAAGAAGACTTAAAGGCAATCATTTATTAACAGAGCCATAAAAAATACATATATTAACATGTAGATTATCCTCCCATTTGGCACAACTAACTCTAGAAATTTCAAGCGGCTGTGATTTCAAAACACAAAAAACTCCAATTGGAAGAAAATTATGATCATTCATAGAATAGGAACCTACAGATTGAAACCCTAATCAGTGAAATTAAGATTTTTATACCCTAAAGGTACAGGAACACCGAATTCTTGTCAGGATTTCGCAATCCAGGAAAGAGAAACCCTAACACGCAAAAAAGATCAAAATAGACCGCAGCAAACGGACAAGAAACCCCAGAACAATTCAAGTCGACAACCTAGGGTTTGGTAATAATGATCCCCCATGAAACCCTATGAGAGACAATCGCGATCGATATCGAAACCTGTTGCAATTAGAGCACATTGAAATTTTTTTGGGGAAATTTACCTCTTTTGGAAATAATTTTAGCAGACCCCTGGCGCTCTTCGAGAGGGGAAGAGGAAAGAGGAAACGAAAAATTTAGTGGAAGACGAAGAAGTTTGGGCAAATTTTAGGTCTCGCCGCGTGAATAATTTGGGAGCATTCGAGTTCTGTTTACTCGCGGAGGACTTTAACCGGCTTAACCCGTCCTACCTGATACCGTATTGGGTCACGGCTAATTGGGTGTTGGAGTTAAACTAACTGGACCCCACTCCGAGTCCAACCCGGCCCATCCAAGCATGTATATAACTTGTGATTCCTGTTTGGACCAAATGATTATTCCCCCCTTAACTTACATGTATCTACTTCTTTATTACTAAAGCAGAACAAAAAAAAAATTCTAATGAATAGTAAAATAACCACCTAAAAATACACCCATGTTTTTTCATAACTACACCCAGTACTCTCCTCTCTAACATCCCATTATAATAACTTCTCCCACCTAAAATACTCCCACGTTTTTTCATGGAATAACGTTAAGGCTCGGTCTTCTTCGCCCACATCGAACTCCCCCCTTTCTCTCTCTATTTCTCTTTCTTCCCCAAAATTAAAATCAAAATCAATCTTGCGGAAAAATTAGGGCGTTTTCCTAGGGTTTAGTACCGGGGAGCAGAGATCTCTCGCGCCATGGCCACTCGCCCCTCTCCTCTCTTGTGCCTCGCTCTCCTCTTCCTTGTCGCCGCTGCTACGGCTGATGTGGTGTCACGTGACGAAGACGAAGACGCCCCCAAAATCTTTCTAAGTCGAAGGAAACATATGGTCTTTGTGCTCCGCCTCCAAAACTTCTCTCTCCTTCTTTCATGCTCTCTTCTCTCCAAGCAAACTACAGGATCTTGAGGTAAAATTAACAAATAGCCCATTTTCTAAACAATATTATTTCTACTTGATTTAAAAGGTGTAATTTGTTTCTGGGTTTTTGTCAGTGAATGGAGAAGGAAAATATTATTTCTACTTGATTTAAAAGGTGTAATTTGTTTCTGGGTTTTTGTCAGTGAATGGAGAAGGAAATAAAACACAGAGGCCGAGAGTAGCGGAGCCCGAGCTCTTGCTGCAGTGGGGGAACAGGAAGCGTCTCCGCTGCGTCAAGATTCGGGATGATGCCGGATGGTCGTCGCCGGCCAGATCCGATTGCGAGAGGCGCGCCACGTCACGTCGGTGTGTCATCAGAGGGGCGTTGTTCGATAGCAGCAAGGATTGCAATAAGGAGTTTCCCTCTTCTCCTCTGGTTTCCTCCCCCTTCATTCATAATAGGTAACTTTCAAAAAAAATTTAAGGATGGAAGAAAAATTAAATTTTGACGTAGTTTTTGTGATACCCAACTGTTAGTTTTATGCAAATGGAATATGATTTTGGTTGTGTTTGGTTTGAGATCCCTGGGTCTTTAGACTCTGGTTCAATTTGATTGAAATTATAGGAGGTTTTTGTTGGATTCAAGTAACGTTTCATCCAATTGAAGTAAACAATAAAACAAAGAAAAAACTATATTTTGATGCAAGCCTAATGTTTGTTATGCTGTGATTTAAATTAAAAGAGGAAAAGAGAATAAGACTTGAATTCGATGCAATAAGAGAAGAAAGTTTTGAATTTGATGCAATTGAAATGATCAATTCCTGATTTCTGTGAAAGTTTGGTCACAAAACAAGATTTTTGATGCAATTTAAAAATATCTAACTGTTAATTTTTATGCTATCTGACATAAAGGAACAAAGGAAACATGATTGTTGATGTGATTTAAGAACTCCCAACTGTTGGATTTTTTTCTGCAGGTTAACTCAAAAGAAAGTAAAGCATAAGATTCTCTGTAGAGCTCCTGTTAATTAAAAGAACAAAGAAAGGCAGGACCTTTGTTGCAATCTAAGAATTCCCAAATTTTGATTATGCTGCAAGTTTTACCCCAATAATACAGTGCAGAACAGGATCTTTTATGCGCTGAAATAACAAAGCGAAACCAGAGTTTTGATGCAATTCATGAATATTTTGATTCTACTAACACTTTGACTGCTATTTCTTTATAGGAATTCCGATTCGGTTGGCAGTGCGAAGAGGAAGTCACAGTCGATTTCACCATCACTGGAGAAAGAAGACCGGTTCTATACGATGAGAGGGTCAGTGGTTGGTTGTGAAGAGAAAGAGAATGGACACATGAACGGATTTAGTATTGTAATTGGTGGAGACAATGAAGGGGTAGTTACAGTTTTCCCTAGATTCTTTGTTTCTCTTTCAAATAAGAGGTCTAAGCACATTCAAAAATGCATATTCGATATGGTATTAAAGTGAACGATGATCTTTCTAAGTTGAAGGAAACATATGGTCTTGATATCCAATTGAGCTATGATGGCCTTCATGTACCAGTGAGCCTAAAGATGTCATTTAAGTTCTTGAGTTTTGACAATTATTTTTTTCTCTCAAGATTCATGTTCATAAATCTCAAGCACGAGATACAAACACCTTACATTTGTGGGTATGAACTGAGCAACCTATCTCCGCTATTTTTGAAGATACTGCAACAGATACATTGGGGGGAAAGAATCTGTTTTTAGGCATGCACCATATTCTGAAAGTTAATGCATGAGAAGAATTATATGGTATCATGTGTTTGTTCTTCTAGCTCTACTTGATTTATAGATGTGTAGAGTTTTGATATTGAAAGTCTTTCACAGACTTCTGGGAGATTGTTTAAAGAATTAATTGCACATAGAACACTAAAAATTATTTGTTTAGTTCTAAATTAACTATCGAAATAAACTTTTGCGAATATATGGACGAATAATAACCGAACTGTTTGTTAATTATTCGGTTCACTTCCACCCCTATACTTCATATCTAAAGTAGAATGATTTATTTTGATAACATGTTTAATATTTGCAGAAAATATTTTAGAAACCGTGCTTTGCACGGGTCTAAATACTAGTTTAGTATTAACCCAGTAGGTTGTGTCGGGTATTATTTATCAAGTTATATTTATCAAGAAATTGATATATTATAAATATAGTTATTTATAGAAATTTCAATGATAATTTTTTAGTACTATGTTAGGAGTAGGCTCGGATATGATGTTTATCATATCTATATCCGCTAACCCATCTCGGATACGGATACGGATACGGATATACATCGGTAAGGAAAATTCATATTCATATCCATATCCGCTAAAAATTGGATACAGTTACAGATATAGATGAGGATATATAAGCGGATATGTATGCAGATACAAAACGGATATGAGAAAACTAGATAGCATTGAGAAAAACATAGTTCATGTGATACAAAAGAGGTCATTAATAAGTTCATTATAACTAAAAAACTAAGATTAGACATCTTGATTATCAAAATTAACCACAAATCCATAATTTGAGAATCGAAACTATCGTAAGAATATGACTAATATGTATTAGGATATTTCGGATACACATACGGATATTTTACTATAAAACCATATCCATAACCATATCCTATCGGTTATAGATTTAAGCAACCATATTCGCATCCTAACGGATACAGTTACGGATATTTTCTTGGATACGGATACGTTTTAGCACCCCTAGTTAGGAGTGAATTTCCAAACCAGTTAGCAAAGTAATGCACCAATTAGCAAGTTTTATAAATTTTCTATAATGGAGCAAGAAAAATTTTATGTTTGTGAAACGTCTCATAAAAGTTAAATTTATCATTCGTAAGAATACATAAAAATGATATGAACAATATTTTTAAGGTTAAAAAATGTTACTTTAATTTAAATAGTGATTTATAATTATCATGAATCATGCTACGACAAGAATAGTATTTACTATATTATAAATTGTAACTTTGATGCTTTACTTTTAAGACAAAAGTTGTAGATAGTAGATGCTCGACATGATCATTTTGGGCTCTACCCTTAAGTATTTAATAGATGGAGTGATATTATAGTTTTTTTATATTTCTTGTATTATTGCAATCTAGAAAGAGATTTTTTTAATTCATAAAAAGGGTTAAAGCTCGTAGAAATTGGGAGAGCGTTGTTAAAAAATATTTTTTTAGTTTTAGAAAAAAAGGAGATAAACTGATAAATACGTACCTATGAAAGAATAAAAAATATTGTTACGTGATTAATCTATTAAACATTTGACGGTATAGTCATAGAAGGACCACAATGAAACGACAAATATAGTTTGAAATACAAAATAGATAAAGTGATTCTTTAAGAGTCAATTTGAGAGTTTACCAATACTTTAGGAGCAAAGTGATTGTTTTGTCTTTTATATTAATGTAATTGTATTTTTTTACTCATGGTTTTGTTATTTTCGCTTGATAATTAGAAAGGGTTTAATGATAAAATAAAATTTCATGCTATTTTCTTATGAATTTGGATCCTCTCCACTACAAAAAAAGTAGTGGAGAGACCACTACTTTTAATCTCAATCATTGATTACTTAATAGGCAGTTATGATATAATCTAAATCTAACAATTACCACATCCCCGTGTATTGCACTCATTCCTAATTTGCACTAAAAAATCACAACCACCAACTAGATAATCAATGATTGTGATTATGTAGTGGTCTCTCCAACTAGAATTATAAATGCATGTTATGTGATGAGATTTAATTCAAACACTGGCAGTGATGTAACTCTGAGATTCATGGTTCTAATAAAATGTGATCCTAACTGAGATTTTTTTTTTTTTTGGGGGGGCGGCCGTCATTTTGAACATTTTTAAAATTTGTTTATTATTTTCGACCTACTTTGTATTTATTTATCATTTTGACCTGGTTTTAGCCACCTCACAGAAACCAGGTTGAAGTTGATAAATAAGTGCAAAAAGACTACACGTGAATGGTAATCCCATGTGGTTTAGTAAAAAGAATAAACCACATAGAATTCTCAATCACATGTAGTTAAAAAATGTTTATGTACAAAATCACACGGTCAAATAAAAGGAGTTAATTAAATTGACGGAGATCCTTTAACTCTCTGAATATCTGGTTCTGAGATGAGTTGTTTTTCCTAGCACAAGTAGCAAATTGTGAGTGGGTCGGGTTTGATTCTCTAGTTGTTCCTCCGACGATCAAGTTAGTGATTTGCTTGTGTGGAGAAATAAATGAGCTACACTAGTTCTTAAACTTAGAGAGTAGTAGTAAAAAGTTTACCTTATTATTGAAAATAGTAATTCTATTAATAGCAGTGGTGGAAGGGTAGAATGATAACTTTGGCCGAGTGTGAGCTGGCGGCCAAGTCAGCCTTTGCTTTACAGGTGTTGACTGACGAGCGGGGGAGAGGTCACTTCGGTATTTAATGCGAAGTGATTGGAGGTGTGTGATGCCGACGTGATCCGATGTATCATAAAGACTACTAGTGGCAGAAGAATGATGGTGGTCATAATGCATTTAATGGTATTTATTGCGAAGTGATTGGTCACTAGTGCACAAGAGAGGGCTCGAGGCTCGAGGCATTTCGTCATCTTCCGACTTGTTCGGAGGTCGATAAGTACCGTCTATTGAGTTGCCCTCGCAAGGTGTCAGGTGATTAATCGGCCGAGTGGAGTGACTAAGTAGTCGACGTAGCCGGGGTACGACATGTAATGCCTTTTGAGTCGTTGACATGTGACGCCTTCGGGTTGCCGACATGTGACACATTTTGAGTCGTCCTCGCAAGATCTCAGCGTGTTGAGTCGAACGAATTGGGCCTCCTGATTATCCTGAAATCCTAACTTCATTATGTATAATGTGGAACACTTGTCTGTCATTGGTTGGAGATTATTTCTTATCACTAAAATGACTATAACAAAAACTAAGCTAAACTTTATAGGATTGTGAGCCCCTTGCAGTTTATAATGAATAAACTCTACAAAATTAACAATTCCATGTAGTTAGCTAAATGGTTAGCCTATTGCTATATAAGTTTATATTGTTGAAAGAGCATAGGTTCAAATCTGAGCTATGCAATATATATTTATAATGTTTAGGGAATAGATTTATAATTTTAAGTTCAAATCTAGTATGAGTATGGATACAATAGTTAGACAAGTAGTTAACCCTCGGAAAGATAAAGTTCAATTATTCAAGTGGTTTTTAGTTTGAAACTGAGTATAGTCAATATATAAACTCTTTTTTCTAAACATAAAAAAACATTAGATGGCTAGAATTCGAACATGCTTTTTCAACAATATACATAACAATATATATAATTTATATGACAATGGGCTAACCATAAAGCCAACTATATGGAATTGTCACTGCATGGAATTGCCAATCTTATGTGATTTATTTATTATAAATTTTACGGAATTCACAATCATGAAAAATAATAAATAAGTGCAAAGTAGATGGAGTTGATAATTAAGTTATGAAAATGATCGAAAATAAAAATATGTCCAAACCCAAATGATTGAAGTCAATGTCAAATACTGCAAAAACCCTCATAGTTATTTGAAAAAAGGCCACTAAAAAAACAATTAAAGAACTACTCCAAAGTTCGTTCCTTTACCTTCACCTTCACCTCCACCTCCACCTCGGGGACCTTGGGCTTCGGATCTCCAGCCGAATTATTCGATGCGCTAGCTGTTTAAATTCGAAGAGGCAGCCGAATAATTCAGCATCCATGGCATGGGAGCTCCTGTTTTGGCTCTACGCCTTCGCCTCTGTAATCGGCCTCGTTGCCCTCACTGCTTATCAGGTAGACCTCAAAACCCTAATTTCTTGAAAAGCTAACGAAACCTCAACAAAATCCATAAATGATCAACGCTCATTCTTCCTGTTTTACTGTTGATTATTAAAAATTTGGGGTAAAAAGTTCACATCTCAGTTTTTATAGATCAAAGTTTGGTTCTTTTGTTCTATGTGTGAGATTTAAATGTAAGATCTTCTCATTTTTCTCATATTAGACCTGATTGCTATCGTATTTTTACATTAGGCACCGAAAATTCCCATATTTCTTTGGAATGAGGTGTCATTTCAAACAACTTGATGGATATGGATGTTCGCGGGAAAATTCGTTGCTTTCTTCATTAATGATTCCATTGTACACTCTTGTAACAGTTTGTATCGATTACAAAGACCCGGTCTTTTTATAAGATCGCGGTTACCAACGAAAATCAAATAAAAAGAAATGAAAAATAAACTTTGTTTCCTTGTTTGTGCGAACGAATCACGAGCCTCTCTGTTTTGCGGTCGCTCGCTTTGTGGTTCTTTTGCTCTGCGCCGGGGTTTGTTTGCCGGTGGACCACGGCGATCTAGATCCGGTCGATCTACGCAGTCGACGGTATTTATGCCACGAAGAAAGTATAGCCGGAGGGAATGTAGCCAAGGAAACAATCGCATCAAGTCTCGGATCTAAGACCAAGCTTAGATCCGGAGCTTCGTACGGGAGGCCGTAGATCTGAGATCTGGTCGCTCTCGAATACGTGCTCTTATTTGCGTTGATGGTCGCCGAGCTAACACAGATCTGGATGAGCAAGTCCTTGAAGTCCTAAAAGCTTGATAATCTTGTTTGGATCTGAAGTCTTGAGTTCAGGCAGTGGCTTCGCCTCTCCAAATTTCCAACCGCTCAAAAAATGACCAAGGCGCTAGCTTATTTATAGGCCCTCAGATCTGTGCGCTAGGCACAGATCTGGGCCGGCCACTCTCAGGGTGCTTCGGCTCTAGGGCCGAGCCACGCTTGAGGTGCGCTCGGCTTGGGCCGAGCCAGCCTGAAGTTGGCTCGGCTTCGGCCGAGCCCCTCAGTGGTGTGTTTTTTGGGTGTTTTCCGCTTTGGTTCTGTCCGTGATTTGATTTAAACTTAGTCTTTGATTTGGTTGATCTGATTTGGGCAGTAAATTCGGATCCCGATTAGGCAGTAATCCGCTTCTGATTGATGAGTCCGAACCGATCTTGATTCGATGTCATTCGTCCGAGTGATCCTTCGGTTGGATGACTCGTTGACTCTTCGAACTCCTGCTTGATACCGCACGAGTGTATGGATGCATTCCGTCGCTTGATGCGATTTCGTCGATCTTCGTCGCCTCGTTGGTTCGTCGGTTTGTGCCGAGCTGAGCTAAAGGACCTATAAGCAATTTTATATGCTTACAATGGAGGGTAAAAATCACAAATGTGATCCTTTGAGGGGTCTTACATAAAAGCATGAGTGTAGTGATTTGTGAGAGTTCTCTCCATGTATTTCAATTGCATTTGAATCCTTGATGTATAATTCTGGGGTAAGTTGTTAAATTAA